TTTTTTTTTTTTTTTTTTTTTTTTTTGCTTCTCAGTTGGGCTGAGTCTCTTAAAAAAGAACAAAGGGCTTCTGCTCTTGTTTTCCACATAAATCCTATCATAGTGTTAGGTCTATAATAGGCCATTTCATAATACATCTGTTTTGGCTGAAAGTCAGATGGAGTGGAAAATTCATGATTCATATTTTCAAAGTCTGGATTTCGTTTAGACTAGAGGGAATTTTAGCGCTTAACCAGCACATACTCACATCCACTGTGCTTCGTGCAGGCCTATAGCTGCCAGACTAGTGAGCCGGGATTATTCCATGAAGTCGTTTGGAGAACAGCACTCCACCCTCAGGGCTTAACTGGTGCTTTGTAAAGAGGTTCTCGCTAAGTGATTTTGAAGAGACAGTTGGGCAGCAACAGAGCAGAATTCCCATGGCGTTATTGGCACCACGTTATTTGCTTGGGTACTTTCATTACTGTATTAAATAATAATAAACAATCACATGTTAAACCACGGGGAATGCCACGTGCTCCCCATAACTTGGTAGATCAATCCGATGAACCAAAGCTGAAGGGTAATTCGTTCTTTGTTTTTCGAAGGTCTCATCGGAAAATTGAAGACTCGGTAGAAAGCAGTGATGAAATCCTTGCCCGTCTGACATCTGCGGTAAGGCCACGCAATTTCCCTTCCTCCGGGTGCACAAATAATGAGTCCAGGGTTTGGGGGGGAGGCATTTGGGTACTGATGTAGAGACACTTGCCCTGTGGGAACCCCCCAATCAAGGCAGAAGGAGGCAGCGGCATTGACTTGTTCTACTTGCTGCAGCCTCTCCTGCAAGACCATAGATATTCCTGATGCAGAATTCCTGGAACCTTAGGAGACTCATCATATCGGATTTCTTAAATGCATTATGACTTAAACTAGGGAAGGTTGCAACCTGCTGCACAAAGGAGAAAGAATGTATGTTTCATTAGGAAAAAAAAAAAATTAGCACAGTGAACAGAAGGCCAGATTATTGGTTTTTAATGTACTAGATTGCAACATTTTCCTTGTGTTTTTTAAAGCCATGAATCAGAGTGAGTAATTGCCTTGCTGGCTGAAGAGAAGCTCGTGCCCACCTTCACAGGAAAAGCTAGCTGCGGTCACTAATCATGGCGCTTCGGTTCTGAAGCTCTTCACACACAATCTTCTTCCAACGGCTTGTCTTTCAGGAAACTTTTCTAGCCTTGCCAGAGATTCTTTAAGTTGCTTTAACTCTATTGCTAGAACAGTAATTGCTGAAAATCATGTTGGACTGGGCCGTGTGTGTGGGTGAAGCTGATCTTGTACAGTTTTACACACCGGGTTGGTACCTGGGCACAGCTTGGAAGTTAGAAGTTGCCTTTCCTACTCTTCTGAAATGTAGCTTAGAAAAGTAATTTTTGACTAAATACAGTGATCAGTGGTATAAAACTTCATGTGAAATGGAATCTTGACAGCATGTTAAGAAGAACTATTTAGCGTGACCTTTGCCGCTTACTTTTATTTATCTCTTTTATTGAAGTTGACACACATCATTATATTCTTTTCAACATGATTCGATATTTGTAAATATTGTGAAAGGATTGCCACAGTAAGTCTACTTAACATCTGTCACCATACATAGTTACAGAATTTTTTTTCTTACGATGTGAACCTTCAAGATTTACTCTCTTAGCAACTTTCAAATATGCAATACAATATTATGAACTAAAGTTACCAGCCCCATGACTTGCTTGTTTTATAATTGCAAGTTTATGCCTTTGACTCCCTTCACCCATTTTGCCCACCCTTCACCCCCGCCACTGGGTAATATTCATATATTATACACACACACACACACACACACCACAGTTTCTTTATCCATTTGTCCATGGACAGTTAGGTTGTTTATATATCTTGTAAATAATGTTGCAGTGAACATGGGGTGCAGATACCTTTTCTAGTTAGTTTTTCATGTTCTTCAGATACATTACCTAGATGTTGAATTGCTGGATCATTTGCTAGTCCTATTTTTAATTTCTTCAATCGTTGTATAAGCATTTATTAAGGGACTGTTGTGCTTCAGTTTTTATAATGTAGTTGCTTTTGTTGACAGTGGTATAAAAACTTGAACACCATGCAGGAAGGAAAATATTTACATACTTCACTCAAGTGACAGCTGTCATCTACTGTGACCCAGAATGCATTCATTAAAGGAAAGCTAAAGTGACATCTGTAATGCAGAGTTGCTAACATGCTCCTCAAGGGTTTGCATGGTTTAGGGGAGTGGCTCCCAGCAATGCTGTTCACTGTACTGCCTTGTATAGTGATCTCATTTTATTCAAACTTGGGAGTTTTGTAGGTGGGTGTCTTTTTTAAAAAAATCCTCATTTCTTTAACCCCAAGAGTTTATTTCTTAGCCCCAGTTTAGGTTCATCAAAGGAAGCATCTCATCATCTAAAAAAAATAATAATCCCTGAAATTCTACCCTAGAACGAAACACAAGTGAATTTTCATATTAAAGGAACATGAGAAGATAGTGCATGTGTAGAAATAAAAATGTCTTTATATAGAGTCAGATTTACAGTTGTTGAATCTATACAAACATGAACAATCTAAATGTTCCAGCCATGTTTCTGGTGATTTTTAGCAAAGAGCCACCCTCCCAAGTGCCTGATATCCACAAACCTAAACAATAAAACTCTATAAGAAGTTTTCAGCTTATGGGAAAAGGCCATGGGTATAACAGAATCCTTCCTTTATAGAAAAGTCTGCAGAAACCCTCTGGACATTATTATCATGAAATTGTTTCCATGTTGTACATACAGTTTCTGCCTTAATTCCTTAGCTTCCTTTCTAATATCTTCTGACCCTACAAACTTTGTTACCTTAAAAACGTTCTCTTTTTCACTTACTATGAGTCTCTGTTGGTCTGATCAAGCTGGGGGGCTGAGAAGGGCCCTTGAATGATGTAGCCTACCAGTTTCCATTGAAGTGCTGAGCATGATTTTATTTTATTTTTAAACATGAATTCTTCCAGTGTTCATGACAAAAAGAGTATTCAGAACTGATCATATGGCTTATATATTCTTATTACAATTTAGGGTAAACAAAAATGTAGGGAGGTGTTCACAATGAATTAAGTGTTGCTCTCACAACCAAAGTTCTTAAGATGTAAATTTAGGAAATATGTTTAACTTTGAGACATTGTAGAGAACTGAGTATATTTGGGAAGCATCCAGTGACAGGAAATACAAACATAGATATCCTTAAATAGGAGATAAAAACTGATTCTAGACTTGCGTCCCTTGCTTCCTTAAAACCAACATCCCAAGCAATCCCTACTAGACTATCTCATTTTTAGGCTAAATTTTCATGATGTTTTGAATTTGTAGGGATAAGAGAACACAAACATTTTATCTGAGCTTGAGTGAAACGTGTGATTTTTGTTCACACAGTCTAATTGCCGAACCACCGAGGTGATGTGAGTTAGGCTGAGATGTGAATGTCGTGTATTAGATGCCTGTTTGGTGGCATGGTTACATTAGTGGCATTTATAAAAGGTCAGGGGGCATGTGGTTTGCTGTTCTGTGCTGCTCGGCCCTGTGAAATCAGCCATCACTTGGATGGTGAAAGTAAACAGTGTTGAGTGCCTGCAATAAAACACTAATTTGGTGGTGACAGTGGTGGAGAGTTTGTGGCCAGATCTTGAGAGATGAATTAAAATTACAAATCAAGTGTTTGGAATTTAGGAAGAGAGGTCAGTGGGAATAGGAACAAAATCCAGTATTCTGGGGCCATTTAACTGGACATTCTTATACCCTCATATTCCTTCTCAGGGATGATTTAGTTTATAATTTTCATCAGTTTCAGTTTCTCTGCATGTTTCTGCTCTATCCCCTCGTGTTCTTCAGTTCATCCAACTTTGATGTAGAACCCGAGCTTCTGATGCTTTTAATGGTATTTTCTATATTTGTTCTCATAGGGTCTTTGGGTGCATTACCAACTCCTCTGAGAAAAACCCTGAGCTAAAAAATCTTACTTGCTAATCAAACCCAAGTTATAAATGAAGGTGTCTGCTGTAAGTTCTAGAAGATCTTGAAGCAGATGAAGCCCCAAGAAACAAATAAGCCATGCTTTTGGTGCAAGTGTTAGAGAAAAAGAAACCCACTGTGGAATTGCTTTATGTATTTCTCTAGAAAGATAATAAAGACAAAAGAGAGATGATTATTGCTAACTGCTGCACATTGTCGACTTCACAAAAACATCTTTCCCTGCTCAGTGCCCAGAAACTGTGCCGTAACTCTATCAGTTTTCATATCGGCTGTGAACTTGTTCTCACGATTTCTAGCATTCTTTCTAGTTCAAGTCTTGTTCTCACTCTCCCCCCATTTGGGAGCCTGCTTCACAGGTAGCATGGATCTGATTTTACTCTCATTAACTAAGGCCTGCACTTAACTGGAACCTTTGGTTTTTCTTCCAAGTCGTCTTTTCCTTAGAGTTCTCTTGGGAAATACTGGCTACAGAGGCACAAGGGAAGGGGTCTTACTCAACGACCAATTGTCCTGTATCGCTGAATGCATGACACTGTGAAACTCAGTGACGCCAGCTTTTCAAGATTCTCTGTCTTGTCAGCCATCTCCATCTTCTAGGTGCCAGTTCTTATATTTTGCTTTCACTCATTTAAAATTCCTCTTTGGCATGTCTAATCTTTCACCTGAAGCTTCAGGCAGTTTCTTTAAGGATGTGACTTTCGCAGGACTCAGTTGATACTGTCTCTGGGTCGAGGAAGCGTACAGACTGGCCAGGATTCCTATGGTTTGTATTCCTTGATGAATCTACAAGTTGGATTTGATTCATTGGAGAAATTTTTTTTTTAATAGTAGGATCTGAAGATAACAGAGATAGCTTTTTAGATCAGAAATTTTCCAATTGGTGCTGGCTCATGGGATTTTGGTTTTGATGAATCTCAGAAAGTTAGACTCTTAGAGACTTACTTAAGAGACAGTATGCCAAGTGAACAAGGTCTAGAAATAATCTTAGGTTAGTCAACATGGGGAGAACCTGTCACATTTAATACATGATGAGTGCAACCCAGTGATGATTTTTACCACATTTAGAAATATGGTAAAAAACACTCACTTTTTGGCTGGCTGGCTGCCTCTTCCTTTCCGGGGAATGGAGACACGGAGTGTCGTTAATCTCCCTTTTCTGCGTCTGTCAGACCTGAGCGAGCATGTTTGTTCAGAGAATAAAAGTAAGCTACTCCCTCAGGGAATGACTAACCTTCTGTCTGGCTGCCACAGGATCGTGAACATCTTGTTACCTTATATTTCTTATCTGTCGGGAACATAAAATTCCTACTTGGAATCCTCAGCCTGGCTCCAGCTCTTCCAGTGGCTCCAGAGCTACTCTGTGATTTGGAGAAGGGCCAGGTGGATTGAGTTTTTAGAGAAAGTGTCAAGGGAGACCCTAGGAGACAGATCTGGTTTCAAGGAGCATTTAAAAAGCACCAGAGGAATGGTAGCACATTTCTGGTATAGTGTTCCTTGTTCTTGTTTTTATAAGAAGTCACGGGGCTCATTAGTCAGCTGGTGTCCAAAGGGCCTTGGGCTGTGGATTGTAGGTCTCTGGGACCATCGGAGAGCCACTTTCCTCAGGAAGGA